ATCTCCAGGATCGGCTACACGCAAGAGTGGCCGTGGGTAAGAGTGACCTTTGGTGCGGCTTGTTGGGTCCGCGGGGGGCCAAGAACAAGCGCGCAAGCCGCTGCTGCCGCTTCTCCTTCGGCCATCTGGCGGCCCATCTGCGCCCGCACCAAAGGTCACTCAAGCGACAGGTCACTCTTACGCCTGGTCGACTTTTTCGGCGGTAGACAAACCTCCCTTGAGTAGACCTCCCCTTAGTGAAAACGGCCTGGGACCGACACCGACGGACCTGGACCCGCAAAAATGACGGCCGCGACGCCCCCTCGCGAACCGAAAACGGTCAATTCCTTAATCGACGTGTCAGGGTAGGAGGTCTGTCCATCCCCGATTTTTTGAGCGTCGGACCTTGGGGAACGCTCTTGGAGCCTCGCCAGGAGCGCTCCGGGGCGACGCCTCCCGGTCCTGGGCCCGGCATGCCCGCCCTGCCCTGCGCGGGGCCGCGCTATTGGCATCCTGGGTCGTCGCTTGTCGGTCCTGGGGCCTTAGGAGGCGGAAAACACGGACCCCCTCGGGCAAAGAAAAAATCATGACAGGAAGTTTTTCCAGACGTTCAGCCTCTGGGGGCCCTTGCCGGGCCTCGGGACCGTCGAAAAACGACTCAGGACGAGAAACCTGTCCCGGGGAATGGGTCGAGTCCTCTCAGGGTCGACGTCATGAAAAAGTCACGACGTCGGGGGTCTGGAAACACTGCAGATAGACAAGCGCGTTCCACTACCCGCAAAGTAGCTACTCGCAAATGGCCTGGATCCGCCGCAGGGGATCCAGGATACACACAAAGGCAGACGTATGGTATTTAGGACGCTTGCGAGTAGGCACTTTGCGAGTCGCGGAACGCACTCGGCGAGCAGAGCACTGGCCGCCGCGGCCCCAGACCCCGGACATCGTGATTTTTTCGTGACGTCGACCCGGAGAGGTCTCGACCCATTCCCCGGGACCGGTTTCTCGCCCTGAGTCGTTTTGTCGACGGTCCCGAGGCCCGGGAAGGGCCTCCAGAGGCCGAAAACTTGGAAACACCTCCCGTCATGATTTGTTCATTACCTGAGGGAGTCTCAGGCTCTTGCTCGCGACCTCCGGGATCCGAAAGGGCGGGCGGGGCCGCTGCCGGAGCGCCCTGCTTGTGTGCGGGGGCAGCCTGGGGCCGTCCCTCCCCGTCTCGCTCGCCACCTCGGCGGAGGGGGAGGAGGAGGAGGAGGAGGAGGAGGAGGAGGAGGAGGAGGAGGAGGAGGAGGAGGAGGA